AGAGAGAGAGAGAGAGAGAGAGAGAGAGAGAGAGAGAGAGAGAGAGAGAGAGAGAGACTCTGTTGATTTGGGTTTGTCAGGTTGTTGCTCCACCTTTTCCAGTTGATTGATTGCACGGTACTGATTGGCTGTGTAATGGAGTTTGATGTCATTGACCTATGACCCTCATGAGCTTGTAGTGGTCAAGTTCATCATTACATGCATGCTTGTGTGGTAGAGGAGCAGAAGGAGACGGGTTCTTCACGTGTGTGTGTGTGTGTGTGTGTGTGCACATTTCCACTTTGGCAGGCTTGTAGTCTGTGCACGATCAGGTGTCAACCATGTAGTTTTCCAGCTAAGCCATCATTTTACAGCTATCAAACTCTCCTGTGCCAATATGCATTGTCGTCAACCAATGCCAGAAGCCCTAAACTTCGCTGTTTCTGTATTATCTTTGAAGTCACTAAGGTAACATTTATGCGACCTGTGACTGTTCATGACAAATGTACACGGAGTGTGGCAGGTGTTCTGTTACCACCTTACCAGGCATCCAAGGACTTACCTGCAGCTTTCACCGACTGCCTTTGTACAATCTGCCACATTGCATTATAATTCCTTCAACATGGCAGGAAGCTCATCTGGCGCATTACATGATTGCATGAACCCTCAGACAGTTAGAGTGTGCCTTTTCAGAGGTTGTAGTGTCATGAAAAATGATGAATGCTTTTGGTTCATGGACCAGAGTAGGGTCAGCCCTTCACTGGTGCTCTGTTCATGCTAGGGAAGTATGAACTTGGTCGCGGCTATGGTCAAACATGAACATAGCACGGGTGAGGCCTGTCCGCTCCCAAGATTTGGGGGGTTAGGTCCTCTGGGCTTCTACCTGTTCTTTAGAAGTGCAGACTGCCAGATTATCCGGTCCATAAGATGAGCCAACTACAACTCATCAGATGAGTCTCCAAACCTGTTGTTTTCTGCAACTAGGAAATGGTCATGCATGATGGGAGTGCACCAAAATGGCCCTAGTAGGCCGAAATTCTGCCTCGGGGATGGCGTTGGGCCAGAATGACAATAGGACAACTCTGCCTCAAGGATGGCATAGGGCCAGAATGACGATAGAACTACTCTCCTCATATTTACTCCAGACTAGCACCCTTCATCCTGTCCGGACGAATTGAATGAACCGAGGGCCCTTCTGACCGCATCACACAAGGGAGAAACACTGGGCAAGAGAAACAAAACAAAGGAGTGGTGCTGCTCCGGCCGAGTGTGTCAGCTATACCTCTCACGGATCCCTGTGACAGGACAGGGTCCACGGGACATAGCTTACCTTGCCAAGGAGCTGTCACCATCCTTGGCGGCGTATCCCTGCCGTGCTACCAGACCACGGAAGGCATCTGATTTCCTAAGCTGGCCATCTGGCGTTACCAATACGCACAAATTTCTTGTCGGGATTGTGCGCCCCAATGTAAATAAGGCCTTATGGTCGACAAGCGTTTATGTTGGAAACCATCAGGAGGGCTACCTTATGGCACTTGCTAACCCAAAGCCAAATGTAGTGCTCGGTTTTTCGTACGATCATCAAGGATCAGTTGAAGTGTGTCACGGGATGATTATCCCGTAACATGGAACGGCTGAAGAATTAGCCGTCCAGCCTTGTAGCAGCTTGTCCTTCGGCCAAGTGGCCGGGGAGACCTTGTGCAGGTGTCATCCGGCAAGATAGTAGAGGGGTTTGACTTTCTCAGGCGCAGACCTAACCATCCAACCAACAATGTCAGAAAAAGGATGCTACAACCGCCCAATGCCCTGACTTCGATAAAGCGGGACGGTGAGACTCGCTTCCACTTGATGCAACCTGGGAGAGCGATCCCCTCAGCGTGCGTCCAGACTCTGACCTTGTGCACTGAGTCGTCGGGCCTTGGCCGCACACCAATCCCACAAAAGGGGTTAACTGACTAATGACTCGTTACTTATGTGATGGAGGGTGAAACTCGCTTCCACTTGAGGTAACCTGGGAGACTGATCCCCTCAGCGTGCGTCGAGACTCTGACCTTGTGCACCGAGAAGTTGGGCCTTGGCCGCACACCAATCCCGCGAAAGGGGTAACTGACTAATGAGTCGTAATGACTCATGTGATTGTCTTTTGACTCCTGCATACCCATGTCATAGGCAAGCACAACGTTTAAACATTTAGGCAAGGAGATGTCACCACATTGTTCACAAAACAGAAAATACGAGAAAACCAACACTGATCGCTGCCTTTTAATGTGCATTCAAGATCACGATGGGCAATCCAAAATCAATGTTGCGCATCAGCACAGCCAAGTCTCATTGAAACCTCGGGCTCGAGACCCTTATTAATTTCCCTCTGTAACACTGAGCTCTTCCAGGTCACCGATAACATGCTACTAACCTGTGATTGCAACCACAGCCAGAGCACATCACACAATCTAACAACGTCAACCCTGATTTGACTTCCCCTTCTGACTCGCACACTCGTAAACCTTTGATAGTCAGACACCCCCTTTTTCACTTGAGTTATTCAATCTGACCTGTCTCATCCATTGACGACCCTTTTAGACCAAAGACAGACCTTTTAGACGATAGACCGAAAAATAGAAAGGCCTTTTCCATGCAAGGTTCGTACAGAGTGTGGGTGTAAAGGGTGAGTGGGGGTTGAGCCGGCAAACCGACCTTTTGCCCTTAGGATAAGAACTTGTCAAATCTTCCTGCAGACTCTTTTCGAGAGTCTTATCCTTCCACTCTCTTGAAATGAGACAACCTGTGGCACGCACACAGGCCACACAACCTTGGATTCACCCCTAACTACTCTACCTAGGGTCTGTATTAGCGGTTGGCCTCGCCAGGCTTGGCCAACGCCATCATCTTCCACTGGATCTATCACTCACTTACCTTTTGAATCCTCATCTCCACCCTGTCTTGGTGAGCACGGAGGCTAGTAATGCCTCTCGGCTTCCCCCCTATACGGTCAAATCGGCGTTTGATTGTCGCGCGCCCTCTAATGCATATTTCTAAGCGTATGAGGTGAAAACAGTACTAGGTCATGAAAAATTGGCAAACATAAACCCAGCCGTGGCCATAACAAACATAGATGGAGGAACCAAACAAATTGAGTTAAGAAAGCTTGATGAGATGGAGTGTGATGGGAAGGAAGAGAATCTACAGAGCAATGATGAGGAGTGGGAGGAGGACAGGGATGGGGATAGGATGGCAGGGAAAGGGGGGGATTGAAGGAAGACTGCAATAAAGATCGGGATGAGTAGAGAAGATTGGAAGGAAGCGGAGGAGGAGAAACATCACAAGGAGGAAACAATGCCTCAACAGTGATGGAGAAGGTGACCGGGGTATTACAATTGGTAAGGAGGATTATAAGGAGGCTATTGAGGAAGAGCAAGTAGTTCAAATAACAAGAATTGGAGCACAGACAAAGTATTCCGGGGAGGACGAGGTTGCTGCATTGGGCAGGGGTGGGCACGACCACCAGGGTGGGGGCATGCATGTCAGAATGAGACAAATGTTGAGATGAAGAATGCTCAGGTTGAGAGTTTATGGGGTTGGGGGGAGATGCAGAGCCAGAGAGGTTGTCCAGGATCTGTCAAGAATGAGGCATAAGTGTTAAGGACTGTTCTCCCCATCACTATGTTTGACTATTTGCGCTCACCGAATACAGACCGATATTGCCGAGCTATAACAGAAATGGGAAAAGAGACTGAGGACTATGGTGGAGGTGAAAGATGCCAGCAATCCAAAGTTTCTAGGGCTGGGGAAACAGAGAGGTCTAGAGAGGATGGGTAGGAAGAAGGAATGCCAGTGATCAGGCGCAAGTGTGAAACGCTGTTGTCCAAATCATCTTGTTTAGTTATTCACAAAGTGAGTGCGGAATCGGCCCTGCAGAACGATTGCGCAGAGAAGTAACAGAAATGGTAACAGAGAGGACCAGAGTGAAGGTGAAAGATGTCGAGGCGGAGAGTTTTGCGGGCTGGGGAAGATGGACAGTGAGAGAGGACACTCTTTTCTTTCAATCGTCCGGTGGACCATGGATCAGATGTTAAACTGATCAGAAGATTCAGAACAGATACTACACTTTATCTATTTTTAGCCAAAAGGCCGAGAAAGGTATGGAAAGGAATGCCCTTAGGGACATCCGTATAAATTGGAACAATACAGAGAAGATTAGCATGGCCCCTGCGCAAGGATGACATGCATAAATCGAGAAATGGTCCAAATTAAAAAGAAAAAAGCTAGGCTACCAGCCGGGTAGCCCGTTTCGGGTGGCCAGCCCATGCAAGGACCAGGGAAGGTCCCAGCAAAAAAAAAAAGAAAAAAAAAATAATTGCAAGGAAAATGAGCAATAGCGAGATGACAATAAACAGAATGCACAATCACATTGAAGACCAGATAGTATCACAGTGTCCAGAGAGTAGCATTGCACCAATATAACACCAATGAGGAATCGTAACACTGAAAACCAATGTCAATGAGAGCTTGCTCTCGCCACCACCAACATGAGTATCCAGGCCCTATCTCCCTACTTGGCGCTCAGCGCCCAGCCTACTCCCTACACAGCTACTACTAGCCTACTAATTGACAATGCAAGTGTTGACGTCAGCAGCCAACGAAGTACTTGAAGATGTCGCCTTGTCCTGTGGAACGAACAGCGAAGGGTCCATCGCCGGTGTGGGGTCTTTGGAGGTCACTGCCGATGCGGGTGTAGTGGAGGTGCTTGCAACTCCTCCTTTGTCTGCTGCCGTTTTGCCTCTCATCCTTCCAGACCCGTCACTGCAACTACCCTCCATTGGAGGAAGAAGAAGATGATGAAAGGAGGAGGAAGAAGAGGAAGATCAAGAAAGAAGGTAGAAGAAGATGATGAAAGGAGGAGGAGGAGGAGGAGGAGGAGGAGGAGGAGGAGAGAAGGACAAGACGAAAGGAGGAGGAGGAGGAGGAGAGAAGAAGAAGACAAGAGGAGGAGGAGGAGAGAAGAAGAAGAATAGAAGAGGAGGAGGAGGAGGAGAGGACTAGACGAAAGGAGGAGGAGGAGAGAAGAACAAAAAGACGAGAGGAGCAAAGAAGAAGAAGAAGACGAGAGGAGGAGGAGAGAAGAAGAAGAAGACGAGGCAGTTCTCAGTGCACTATCCCGACACTTGTGAAAGAAAACCAATGAAATTGGGACGAGGAGGAGGAGGAGGAGAAAGGAGGAGGAGAAAGGAGGAAGAGGCGGAGGAGAGAAGAAGAGAGGAGGAGGAGAGATGAAGACGAGAGGAGGAGAGAAGAAGACGAAAGGAGGAGGAGGAGGAGGAGGAGGAGGAGGAGGAGAAGGAGGAGGAGGCGGAGTAGGAGGACAGGAAGACGAGAGGAGGAGGAGGAGGAGGAGGTAGTGTGTGGGGATGACGGGACAAAGAAAAAGAAAAAAAAAGAGGACGATGGAGGACGAGGAGGAGGAGAGAAGGAGAACACGAAAGTGGAGGAGGGGGAGAAGAAGAGGAAGACGAGAGGAGGAGGAGGAGGAGGAGGAAGAGGAGGAGAAGAAAACGAAGACGAGAGGAGGAGGAGGAGCTGGAGAGAAGAAAAAGAAGACTAGAGGAGGAGGAGAGAAGAAAAAGAAGACGAGAGGAGGACCTGCCGGTTTTGTATGGCGATGACGAAAAAAAAAAAAAAAAGACGAGGAGGAAGGAGGCGGAGGAGGAGACAAAAAGGAGAGAGAGAGAGAGAGAGAGAGAGAGAGAGAGAGAGAGAGAGAGAGAGAGAGAGAGAGAGGAATCCCGACACGCAGCAGTTCTCAGCGCACGGCTGTTGCCACGTGGCACTTGGCCTACTAAAGAAAACCAATGAAATAGGGAGGAGGAGGAGGAGGAGGAGGAGAGAAGAAAAAGAAGACGAGAGGAGGAGGACCTGCAGGTTATGTATGGTGATGACGAAAAAAAAAAAAAAAACAGGATGAGGAAGGAGGAGGAGGAGAAAGAGAAAAGGAGAGAGAGAGAGAGAGAGAGAGAGAGAGAGAGAGAGAGAGAGAGAGAGAGAGAGAGA